ATAGACCTCCACCTTCATGTGATTATTGTTCTTGAACAGTATACCTCTACCTGGGCATCTCTTCAAGTATGCTAATATTCTTTCAGCTGCAAGAAGATGTGTAGTTCTAGGGGAATGCATGTACTGGCTGACAACACTGACTGAATAACTAATGTCTGGCCGTGTGAGGCAGAGATATAGAAGCTTTCCAACCAACCGTTGGAACATAACTCTGTCCTCGAGAGGCTCTCCACCCTCTACATTGATCTTGTGATTCTGTTCAATGGGTGTATCGGCAGGCTTGACACCTAACTTTCCAATTTCCTCCAACAGATCTAGAACATACTTCATTTGAGAAATAAAGATCCCCTGGTTAGATCTAGCAACCTCAATACCCAAAAAATATCGCAGTGCACCAAGATCTTTCACCTCAAACTCTTGATGAAGGAACTGTTTGAGGGACTCAATCTCACTATTATTATTCCCTGTCACTGCAATATCATCCACATATACAGCAAGCAAGGTCAAAGAAGAGTTCACTCTTTTAACGAACAGTGTATGACCTGACTGGGCATGTACATAGCCGAATTTTCGAAGGGCTAGTCTGAATCTATCAAACCAAGCTCTAGGGGATTGCTTTAATCCATACAATGCCTTATTCAGTCGGCAAACCTTCTTACCTGTCTCTGTATCATAGAATCCAGGGGGCAACTGCATGTAGACCTCTTCCTATAAGTCTCCATTCAGAAAGGCATTTTTAACGTCCATCTGGAACAAGGGCCAAGAGTAACTTGCTGCAAGGGCTAATAGAACTCGAATAGTGATCATCTTTGCTACTAGAGCAAAAGTCTCCAAGTAGTCTATACCATAAGTCTGAGTAAACCCTTTTGCAACCAACCGGGCTTTGTACCTTTCAATGGAGCCATCAGCATTATGTTTCATAGTAAATACCCATCTACATCCAACCGGTTTCTTTCCTCTAGGTAGGTCAACTAGCTCCCAAGTATTATTTTTCAAAAGGGCATCCATCTCAACTTTCTTTGCATCTTTCCACTCTGGAACTGACAAGGCTTCTTGCACTGTTCTGGGGATAGGGATATCGGCAATGGAAGTCAGATAGGACTTGTAAGAGGGAGACAAGCGATCATAGGATAGAAACTGGGAAATGCAGTGAGCTGTGGATGTGGTGCAACATTGTTTCCCCTTACGAACCGCAAAAGGGAGGAGGTCAAGGTCATCTAAAGAAGGGGAGGAAGTAGCAACAGTGGAAGGCATCTCAGTGGGCCGTAGGACTGTAGTACCTAGATCTGGATCCGCAGAAGGAACTGGAGCTGGCCTGGACTGCCGATGATCAAGATCAACCTGCCTGCATCGACTGTGATAGACTTTTAACTCCTGATACCTCTGACAACCCTCACCACTACAGCCTTCATCACTCAATGGAATGGGTAAAGGAACAACCTCAGATGAGTTAACCCCACTCTCATTGCGCTCCCCCTGAGAAAAAAGACACAAATTCTCACTACTCTCCCCCTAAGGAGAAACCCTAGGATAATAGGGTGCCTCCTCAAAGAAGGTGACATCCATTGAGACAAATCTCCTCCCTGAAACAGGATCATAGCAGCAATAACCCTTTTGAGTTTGTGCATAACCGAGAAAAATGCATTTGGAGGCCTTAGGTCAAATTTGGAATGATGAGATCCAAGAAGCTGAACAAAACAGGTACAACCAAAGGTTTTAAGAGGAACAGTAAACAACTCGTCTGGTATAGAAGGGTAAACGGAGGCTTCATATCAAGTACCCAAGAAGGAACCCGATTAATGAGATACACAACCGTGAGGATAGCATCACCCCAGAAACGGATAGACACATTGGAGGTAAACATGATGCTTCTAGCACCTCCAAAATGTGCCTATTCTTCCTCTCGGCAACCCCATTCTGTTGTGGTGTATGAGGACAAGTGCTCTGGTGAATAACCCCATGATCAAGTAGATAAGAGGCCAGTGAATTAGCAAAGTATTCTTTTGCATTATCAGATCTGAGGACTTTGATTTTGACCCCAAACTGGGTTAAAACCATTTGATGAAAGTTTTGGGTCAGAGCGGAAACCTCATCCCGAGAACGCATAAGGTAAACCCAAGAAAAACAGGTATGGTCATCAACAAACAACAGAAAATATATGTACCCACCCATAGAAGGGATGTGATATGGCCCCCAAACATCGATATGCACAATATCAAAAGAATTATTACTTCTTTTATTACTCAAGAAATAAGATGTTCTACAATGTTTGGCAAACTCACAACTCTCACATCTCAAATTTGACATTTCAACAAACTCAAATAAAGTAGGAAACAGACTCTTCAAAGACCAAAAAGAAAAATGACCTAATCGATTATGCCAAAGTATAATTGGACTCACAAACTGAGAAACAAAAGACTTCTTATCCACTAGCTCTTTCTAATGAGAACTCTCTCCAAGCAAATAGATCCCATTCGTCTCACGGCCAGTCCCAATCACCTTCCTCGTCCCCAAGTCTTGAAAAACACATCGGTCAAGGAAAAAGGTTACTGAACAGTTCTGATGTTTGGTAATACTATTGACTAAAAGCAAATTAGTATCAAGTTTAGGAACATGCAAGACTGAGGATAAAGAGATAGTATCAGATAACTTGATGTCACCCTTGCCAGAAATGGGAACAAGAGAGCCATCAGCAATGGATACTTTATCTCTACCAGAAGATAAGTGATAAGTAGTGAACAATGATGGCAAGCTAGTCAAATGGTCAGATGCACCCGAGTCTATTACCCAACAGTGTTCAGTGTTACCTGGAGCGGAAGCATGGTAGGCTGAGGCCCGAGTACCTGAATAAGCAAATGCAGATGTGGCAGGGGCTGATGGTGACTGAGATGACTGAGCTGAATTCCCAACCTCCTTTGCCAACTGTATTAGGGCAGCCCGAAYAGCAACTAAGGTATCTATGGGCGTGCCTTTTGTGCCTGACGAGGATGCAGAATCTGTATTCATAGCCATATGAGCATTACCCCTTTTATTCCTCAGTTTTGCTGAGACTAAATGAGGGTGGAGCTTCCAACATGTATCTTTCGTATGCTTGGATTTCTTGCAATGTTCACATACCATATCCCGTTTATCTTCCTTCTTCATGTCCCTTTCTGTATCACCCCAGACTTAGGTTTAACTGCCGCCAGGGCTGGGGGAAAGGGCTGTTGTTGCATCATAACCTTCCTCCTGGTCTCTTCACTACGCACTAGGGAGTATGCTTGAGAGAGGGTCACACTGTCTCTTGTTAGTATCTGCTGTCTCACAATGTCATAATCTGAATTCAGGCCAGCCAGAAATTCAAACACYCTATTGGTCTCGACTTGCTTTCTATGGGTCTGTGCATCTTTTGGACTTTCCCACTCAATAGTCTCCAGATGGTCAATTTCATGCCAAGGGATTTCAAGGTAGAGAAATAAACAGAGACTGGTTTCTCTCCTTGTTTAAGATTATTCACCTCACACTTCAGTTCATAGACTCTACCAACATTAAGGGGTTGGGAGTAGGTATCTTTCATGACATCCCATATCTCCTAGGTTGTCTTTGCCCACAAGTAATTTCGGCTGATATGTGGCTGCATAGAGTTGCACAGCCATGTCATAACCAAGTAGTTCTCCTGAACCCACTTGATATACATTGGGTCCTCCTTGAAAGGTTCTTTCACATCTCCCAATAGGTAGCTAAGTTTTCCCCTTCCCYCAATAGMCATCATGGCTGATTGGGCCCATTCCAAGTAATTGGATCCGTCAAATCTCACAGTTGTAATCTGAAACGCAGTCTCAGACATACTACCAGAACTGTTGTTCCCAAAAACACCTCCCTGATTTTTGAACTCCACTCTTGGTCAAGAATCAGTAGTTAAGAACTATCAGGGTTACTACAATAGAAAACAACACTTAAATAATTGATCACAATCAGAAATCTGTATGAAATCAGTTCAGATCTGATCTGAAACCAATCGGCAATCAGAATATATGCAGTCCAATAAAAGTTCTCACCCCCAAAACAGGCTTGAAAGCCAAAAACAGGCCTGAAACCCACGTAGAAAGCAATCTGTAATGCTGAAGCAGAATTAGGGTTTTAATCGTAGGGTTAGGAAGACCTTTGTGAGAACATAAACAATGCTCAGCCACACTTTCCAAAAGAATTCACAATCAAGTCTAGCCGTAGGGTTAATGACAAACCCTAAAAAAAAACTGATCACCTCTGAGAGAATAGGAGAGTTCGGTCGCTCCTCCTAGATAGGTTCAACCTATCTTGACTGACAACAATCTCAAGGGAAAAATAAAGACTTACCCAGAGAACTCTGATCGCTACCTTCAATCGTGGCCTGAACCCTAACCTTCTCTGATTCTTCCTGATTACCAAAAC